GAGGGCTCCCGCCCCCGAGCAGGAAGAGCCCATCACTTCCCCAGCGGCGCCTCTGGAACCTCTGGTACCCGTGACTTACATCGATGACATTGTGGAGCCGGACAGCGGGGCTGGCCCGGCTGCGAGGACGGGGAGCTTGGCGGATCAGCCCGGAGGAGCTGGCCCCGACCTGGAGATGGAGTTTTCCTCTGTGCCCCTCTACAGACCGCACTCTGCCCCTCAGCAGAGGGGAGGCAGCACCTTCACTGTCGTGCCCAAAAGGAAGCCCGTGGCCCCGGGGCTGCAGGCTGTCCCCGATGCCAGCGGAAGGCCGCAGCGGGAGGAAGAGGAGGAGGAGGAGGAGAGCAAAGCAAGAGGCAAAGCCGTGGAGAACGCTGATGGGCCTCAAGTGGGGGTACCCCATAAAAAGCGCTACCCCACGGTGAACGAGATCGAAGTGATCGGGGGGTACCTGTCCCTGGAGAGGTCCTGCATGAGCAAGACGGGCTCACGGCGCAAGAAGGTAACCGGGCACTCTGTGCTCAGCAGCCAGGCTGTGAGTGCCAGGGCTGCTTTGGGTTTGGCTGCTCATGAGGCACTGCTGGGAACAGAGCAGAGTGTTTGCCCCTCGTGGGAGCCAGAGGCTGCCCTCAGAGCTGGCTGAAGCTGGGGGTAAAACGGACTGGAAAACAGGAGAGGGAAGGTGGAACTCCACCACACTGATGCGAAGGACATTTCAGAATGGTGAGGAGGGAACCAGGGATTAATATTTCTCATGGTATCCAATATTAGGAGAGTTTGCAACTCTGCAAGCCCAGTGCCTTATTTGCTTTTACTGTCTCCTGGAAGTTTAAAGGGTTCCTAAAGGGAAACCACAGCTGGGAGGTGGGACTTGGTGTGTTAAACAGAATTTGCCCTCAGGGAGGGGACACTGGGGACTGTCCCACAAAGCGGCTGAGGGTGGGATATGCCCTGTGACAGCTGCAGGGCCTCTCCCACCCCAGCCCTTCTTGGAGATACGATAATGGAAAGTGAAGTATTTCAGGAATTTAGGAAATCAGGGGGAGCTGCGTGCTTGGAGCAGCTGTGGGCTTGCCCTCCCGCTCTGCTCTGCTCGCTGTGTTTGAGGGGTTGGACATGTTGAGCTGCCCATGGTTTCCCAGCAGTGTCAATGGTGTCTTCCCCTCATTAGTGATCTATTGATAGAGGCTCAAGAATTAGGTCTCAATTAGGCAGAAAGAGATCAGCGAGAACTTAACTCCCATTGATAGGATTATACCACCTGCTCCTTCTGAATGTGCAGCTACAGCTCTGACGATCCAGGAGATGCTGATTGCTCCAAATGCTTTTGGAGTCAGTGAATGCCAGATTTTCTCACAGCTTGGGGAGTAACATAGATCCTTGTGAGCCCTAAATTGAAAATTAATCTTTGTAGAGCTTGCTGAAATGTATCTGGATGTGACAAGAGGAGTGGGGAGAGTTTTGAGCTCTGAAGGCAGCACGCTGAGGTGGCAGATCCCGACTTTTAGGGCTGTAATGTGACGTACTTTTCCATAGTGGGAATCATTGTGGGACATTTCCGTTACTCAAATCCAAGTAGATAACTGAGGGACTGAATGCACATGGGTGCCTGAGGCACTGAGCATTATAATTTGAGGCAATCCTTTGAGCAGGATGCATCTCATTTGAAGGGAGGCAGGCAGTGCTGCTTCCCTGGCTTAACGCTGTCAAATTCCTCCCTAAGCACATGCAGCCTGTGGTAATTTGATGGTGACTAATGCAGGGAGCAGGTCTGGAGCAGCTTGAGAGATAGAACAAGCAAATCAGCAGGAGTGTTGATTCTTGCTCAGTGCTCCTGAAGTTTTTCCTTGTTTTCCTACAGCGAAGTGCTTGGTCAGACTGGCGTTGTTCTGCTGCCTAAACACCTGCTGGCTTGCACTCATTGCAGCTGTTTTGGCTCTGTTCAGGTTCAATATGAGGTGTTAATTTGATTTACACCAATTCAGGTTTGTGGTAAAAGGGTGATAATATTAATACAGCATGTTACAGTTATGAGTGCTCTTAGGATGGAGCAGAGGGCACAGAGAGAATCTTGTGGGATGGTCATATTTGCGTCAGCCCTACATCTGATGGAGCTGAGGAGCTGATTTTTCTGAGCAGGGGATGCTGTTGGGGCACAAGGAACAAAGCCTCAAGTAAAACCAGTTAAGTGGTGCCCAGTGGAAGGTATCCTTAACAGTACAAAAAGGAGGGAGAGAGATGAGCACAAATCCAGTGCAGTGACTGAATTGTTTTTTGGTTGGTCAAACCCAGAGAAGTCGTGGCATGTCCAGCCTTGGAGCTGTCTGAAACTTGCCAGGGAAAAGCTTTGAGCAACTGGCAAGTCAGTCTTGCTGAAGTCAGGAATTTGGGCTAGAGACCTCCAGAGGACGTTTCCCAGCCTAAAATATCATGTGATATTGGTTAACTACTGTTTTGTGTGTCAGTGGTGGATTTGTGTGACATTGGGCAGGTCATGGAGCTTCTCTGCCCCTGTTCTTATCAGCTTAACAGCATTATCTGCCCTGCTGTGCAGCTGAGGTGCCAAACACTGCAATGTGCACACAGAGCTGTGCCCTAAGAGCTGTGTGTGGGGTCGTGCTGCAGGAGAACTTGTGCAAACATTTGGTTTCTGAGAGGAGAGAGATTAAAAGGCAAAGGAGAAACTGCCTGTTATATTTGCAGAACTCAGGAAGCTGAGGCAAGTAAGGATCCTTTGAAAAATAAGATGGAGCTGAAGGAAAGGAGTCAAGACACGAGTTTCTGGGTGAAGTTAAATGTGGTATGGGAGAAACACCCATTTTTTTTCTTTCAGTTCCTTCCTGCTCAGTCAAGCACAGGGTATGACTTTGTAGCCAGGGTCTAGAAGATGCTGATGGGAGACAAATGGAAAGATTTCTGTTTACTCTTGACCTAGAGGATGTTTGTGGCTGTACTCTGGGTAATAAGGCTGAGTGTTGATGCCTGAAAAGGAAGGAGCTCGTATTAAGATGCATTCCTTGGTTTCTTCCCAAGAGATCACTCTGTGTCTCCAAGGCAACCAGCCAAAAACAAGAGTTCTGTTTTGTAGCTGTGTCGGGTTTTCATAAACTTGATTTTGGCCTGAACTGGGCAGAAACAGACTGTTCTTGTGAGCAGGGAGCTGCAGTTGTTTGTTAAAATCAATCTTCTTTCTTTTTTGGGGTGTCAAAACCTGATGCTGGTTTTAGTGAGCAGCTCCTGTGTCTTTTGGGGTGAACAAGCCCTTCCTGTGCCAAGCACCTTCCTTTCCAAACCTTGCTTTGAAAAGATCTTTAATTATGCTCCATATTTAAAAAAGCAGTGCTTAGTGAGACTTCAAGAACTTGGAAAAGTTTAACTGTTTGCTGATGCCCAGCAGGAATCTGGGAGATAAAAAGGTCAGCAGAGTCTGGAAATGCTGTGGATCAGTGGCTGGCTGTGCAGTCAGGGGTAATGATTTATTAGGAAGGAGGGTGTCAGCCCTGCCAGTTGCACCCCACTGTTCTCTGAGATGCAAATGGTGTTTTTCTTCAAATGTAGAAATTCAGCCTCCCTTTTCCATCCCCATGTGTGGCCTCTGGTTGCCTGACTGTGGCAGCAGTGCTGGCCAAGTGGAGCTGCTGTGGTCTGAGTCTCCTGATCCACATCCTCCGTGGCTTTTTGGGAGGGAGGCTGGGACAGGCTGGGTTCCAGCACTGCCCTGCACAGAGGGAGCTCCAGCCCCTGCTCCTGCTGGCAGTGGCTGTGGCACTTGTGACTGTGCTGTGGCCTGGGGGATGCTGCTGCTTCAAGGCCTTTCAGGATAAACAGCTTGATTGCTCCTTCCAGACCTTCAGATATGTGAAGCAGCTGTTACTCTGGGGGTTGGAGCTGGAGCTTGCTGAGGTAGAGGGGGATGATGTATTGGAAATACAAAATCTGTTCCCAGCTCTCTTGTGGAGCTGCTGTGGGGGGACAGGGCTGTGAAGGGCAGTGTGGGATGGGACACATCAGGGTCTGCAGGTGGAGGGAGGGCAGAGCCCCAGCCCTGCTCACCCTGGGGGATGGATGAGCTGGAGCTGCTGTGCTCCTGCAGCTTCAGGTGCCTTCAGGGCTGTTCATGTGCTCTGGGGATGTTCTGAGCTCTCTCCAGGCAGTGCCACCAGCAGTTCAGATAAAGCACTGTGGGTGGGACTCAGTCTGAGAAGCGTTTGCAGCTCCAAAGGGATGTGCCAGGAGCTGCTGGGCAGCTGCTGGAGGAGCTGGCTGAGCTCTCAGAGAGGACAGGATACATGTGCAGGGGTGGGAGGAGACCTACTGACCTTTATTCTAAACTGGGAATGGGGCAGAGGATGCAGCACACTGTTGGTGACCTCTGCTCAGGGCTTCTCTTTGTTATTGCAGAGAAGTAAAGGCATGTCAGCAGTGCCAGGAGGAAGGGAAGGCTTTGCTGCAGGATGTGGATCTTTGGGATCTCAGAGGATAAAATCTTGCTCATGTGGGCAGACAAGAGTCAGTGGTGGTTTGGTTACCTGCCAGAATAACGTCCAATACAGTTGTTGTTGAGATGGAAATCTGGGTTTCTGCAGAACATGTGGTTGGTGTGTGGAGGAGAGCTGGGCAAGGACAGAGCAGTGCAGGGCCAGCTGGGCTCCCCATGATCAGCCACTGGCTTTGGGCTCAGGCTCTCCTCTGGCTGGGGGCTGCACTCTGCCCTGGCCCTGCTCCTTTGGTGTGTCACTCCTGCAGAGCATCCCCAGCGTTTTCCTCTCCAGGATCCGGTACCTCCTGCAGATCCTGCAGGGAAGGTGAATGAATTCTGGCCAGGCCAGCCAAAGTCCTGTGAATAACAGGACCTGAGAGCCAGCAGACATCAGGTTGTTGATGGATTTAATGTTTAGTGCTTGTCACAGCTGGCAGCTTGCCGTGTGCTGGCAGGCGAGGCGCAGCCCAGCGTGAGCGGGGATTACGGGAACAAGGCTGCTGGGATCCAAACAGTTGGAGTCTAAAGCTTCTAAATTGTCTTCAAAGATGTGCAGCTGAACTTCAAAAAGTTCCATCTTGCACAAACTTTAGCATGGTCCGTGTCCTAATCTTTTGAGCTGCGTAAAGCCTGAATGTGGCTTCCAAATTGCCACTTAAAAGTCTGTTAAAAGATTAGTTTAAATACCCCTCAGTTTTGATCATGGGCAGCAGCTTTGTTGGTCTAACCTGCTGAACTTCCTGCTCTGTAGTTTTCCATCTGTTCAGTTCTGCTGGAGATGGTCTCCTGTGAGAACCAGGTGTAGCTTTGGGATGTTGGCAGGGATCAACATTTCCAGCTGCTGCCCAGACCTGTTTGCAGCAAGTCTGCACAGTGTGGAGTCTAAATGCTGCTGGCTGCCTGAAGTTTGTTTTTGCAATGTATAACACAAGTAAATTAACCATAACACAAGTGAGTTCATTTAGTAGTAGAAGGAGAAATCTCTCTGCAGGAGCTCCTTTGATGATGTCATCCCTGTGTTT